AATTGGCAAGTGAAAATTACATACAGCAGAACCTCTGTTAGGTTGACCACCCAAGGAATCGGAACTAACTGGTCAACAGGTGTACGGGGTCACCATAAGGAACCAGGCCTATTGTACTGGCATGTACATGTGCATGTCCAATCTATGAAAATCGGGTCAGCTTCAGGAGGTGGTCAGTGCAGGGAGGGGGGTCAGTGTAGGGAGAGGGTCAGCTAGGGAGGTTCATCTGTACATGGCATGTAACATGAAGTCTATCCATGCATGATACGTGAATACCTTCTGAATAAATTCAGTTAGGAGAATTAGCACTTGTGATTACCTCTGTCTGCCTTTCTATAAGAGAGCAATTCTCAGAACTTTTTCCAGAAAGACATTTTCACTGACACCCCTAGAATGGTCTGTGGGGGAGAGGAAGGGAGACTTCAGAGTAGATCTGAGGGCTGCCATTCTTGGCAGGCCGTGCGGAGCAGGGCTGGGGGTACACTCACCATGCTCCCTGGGGTGCCACCTCACGGCGTGCAGAAATGATCCACAATAGTGAAACAGAAACTCATGCTCTGAATGCTGGATGTCTCCCCGCAGCAAGGGCATGAGGTCTCGGCCGTCAATCACTCTGTGGACATGTGAGAATAAGGAGCGAGGTCACCCAGCAGGCTGGCTGCAGGTCCGAGGGCATTCCCAGCCGCTGGGCAGCGTGCTGAGAAGTTGGGGAAATCTGGGCACACTGTCATTGAAATAACGCTCCAGGGGGAGAGAGGAGAAACCTCCGCTTTCACGCAGAAATTAGCAGACAGAGGAATGTGTCAGTCTGTGTGCCAAGGACACACCCCAGCTGTGGACCCGGCCAGCATGTAAATTATTTCTCAATAAACATAACAAAGCTTCTCACGACCTGCAATGGCCACGGTAAAAATGCATAATCCTGGCTTTCTTTATCTCTCATATCTCACTATAACTCAACAGAGATATTCTGAGAAAAAGGTGATTTCAGGTGAGGAGGGGAAAGTAATCAAAATTCATTTTTTTAATTTTTTTGAGACAGAGTCTTACTCTGTCACTCTGGGTAGAGTGCCATGGCGTCACAGCTCACAGCAACCTCACACTCCTGGGCTCAAGTGATTCTCCTGCCTCAGCCTCCCAATTTGCTGGGACTACAGGCGCCCACCACAACGCTCAGGTAGTTTTTCTGTTTTTAGCAGACACAGGATCTCACGCTTGCTCCAGCTGGTCTTGAACTCCTGAGCTCAAACAATCCTCCTGCCTCAGCCCGCCGAGTAGTTTAGACTATAGGCACCTGCTACAATGCTGGGCTTCTTTCTGTATTTTATTTCTTTTTTTTGCAGTTTTTGGCCGAGGCTGGGTTTGAACCTGCCACGTCCAGCATATGGGGCCAGCACCCTACTCCTTTGAGCCACAGGAGTCACCCGCTACTTTTTGTATTTTCAGTAGAGATGGGAGTCTCACTCCTGCTCAGGCTGGTCTCGAACTCCCGAGTTCAAACTGTCCTGCCTCAGCCTCCTGAGTAGCTGGGATTACAGGCACCTGCCACAATGCCTGGCTACTTTTTTCTATTTTCAGTAGAGACGGGGTCTCGCTCCTGCTCAGACTGGTCTCAAACTCCTAAGCTCAAGGGAACCTCCTGCCTTCGCCTACCAAACCTTCATTTCTTGAGACACTTTTTTCTTATTTTGAGATAGAATCTCACTCTGGCCCCAGGTTGCAGTGCAGTGGGGTCATCACAGCTCCCAGCAACCTCAAACACCTGTGCTTGACCAGTCCACTTGCCTTGGCGTCTCAAGCACCTGTCACTATGCCTAGCTAATATTTGAATTTTTTGTAGAAATGAGGTCTCGCTCTTGCTCAGGCTGGTCTCAAACTCCTGAGCTCAAGGGATTCTCCAGAATCATCTCAGGATAAGAGAGTAGGGAGAAGCTCTTGTTCAGAGGTAATATTACATCACCTGTCCTGGGGGAGGGTTGCTCCAGACACGGAGGCCAGTGCTGGGAAAACGTCCATCAGACTTGTAGGTTCCTCAATGGAACGTCCACCTGGTACCTTTCCCGGCCATCGAACAATTCCTGGGACTCGGATACCACCTTCCCAGCCTCCCATGCCTTTTCCTCCTACAAGGTAAGGAAATTCAGTTGTGCCCAGTTAGAGACAGCGGCTGTACTGGCCGTGTTTAAATTGTAAATTAAAATAAATTGTGGTATATGTGGAATATGACGCAGCCTTAAAAAAAGATGGAAATATTACCTCTTTTATGTTTACATGGATGGAGCTGGAACATACTCAACTTAGTAAAGTATCTCAAGGATGGAAGTAAAAATATTTAATGTACTAAGTACTATTACAAAACCAATTTATAATCATTCACAGTTCCATATGAAAGATAAATCACAACTATAGCCCAGGATGAAGGAGGGAAGAAGAGGGGGAGAGGAGGGGAGGGGACGGATGGGTGGAGAGATGGTAAATGGTGAGACCACACCTATGGTGCATATTGCAAGGGTACAAGTCAAATCTATTAAGCATGGGGTATAAATGTCTTAGCACAATAATTAAGTAAATGAGGTGAAGGCTATGTTAACTAGTTTGATGTAAGCATCCCAAATTGTATTTAAAATCAGCGCATTGCACCCCATAAATGCATTAATGTATACATGGTCTATGTATTTGTGACTTAATAAAAAAAATAAAATGTAAATTAACACCAATAGAGACAACATTGATTTACTGCCTATAACATGTACAGTTCTAATGGCATCAGTACGACACGCCCACAGAAATATATTTTCTTCTGTTGCTGGAGGGTTTTTTATTAACTCACTAATTATATTTATTTTAGACAGAGTTTCACTATGTCACCCTCTGTAGAGTGCTGTCGCATCCCAGCTCACGGCAACCTCAAACTCTTGGGCTTAA